AACTTCAACGTTTACCTGGACTTGGCGGAAAACCCATGGTGGCAGCTGATTGTAAAGATGAAGCCTCTTCTTGGTACTACTCGTACAGCCACAGAAGTAAAGCGAAGGGATGCAATGATCAAGGATCTAAACGAAAGGATGCAGCTGGAGTCCCAAAATCGTGTGAAACTTGAGGAGGAACGGCGAAATTGTCACGCTGAAATGGTCCGAATCCAGCAAACTCTCGAGAGTGAGCGTGCGCTTGCTTTAGACAAGGAGGAAATTTTCAAGAGGCTTCAGCTTCGAGAAGCGGAGCTCGAGGAGAAGCTTGCGGGAGCAATTGAAGACCAGGAAAGGCTGGAAGACGAGTTAGACGACCTTCTGAATGCCAAGAACCGGGCGGAACGAGATGTCGAAACGTATCGCTCTCAGCTTGAGCAAGCTGCCACACTCATTGCTAAGCTTGAGGAGGAGAAGAAGGGACTGAGCACAAGGATCAGCGAAGTTGAACAATCAATTGTCGACATAACCCAGAGGCAGGCCGAGCGTAGCGAGCAGGAACTTGCCCTCCAAGATGAAATCAAGATGCTTCAGAGTCAGCTATCGGTCAAGGAAAGGAAGGTTCAGGATTTGGAGACCAAGCTTGTGAAGCTCGATCAGGACTCGGAGCTTAAGCTCAACGCGGCTCAAAGAGAGCTCCAGTCAACTAAGCTCCGAGAAACTCAACTTACTCAGGAGAACGAGGACATCCAGAGACAGCTCAACGAGCTCTCCAAGACGTCGACTGACTACGAAGATCTTGTTCGACAAAAGGAGAGTGAACTCGCTCTTCTGCGAACCGACAACAAGAACTTCGAAAGCGAGCGTCATTCTCTTGAGGATCAGAAGAAGTCTCTGACCACTGAGAAGGAGAAGAACGCCGAGAAGTACCGCGAGGCTCAAGCTGAACTTGTAGCCATGAAGTCTCGGCAATCTCAACTGGAGCGAGAGGCCGAGGACGCAAAGAACTTGTTGGAAGCACGTCTGTCGGAGGATGCACAAGCCGATCAGAATCGCCAAGTCCTGGAGTCGCAAATAAAGGATCTGAAAGATGAGCTGTACAAGACACAGATGGATCTAAGTCGAGAACGCCAATCTCGAGATGACGTCCAACTGCTCGGGGAGCACCGCTATCAAGAGTTGAAGGATGAATTCGATCGTCTTAACGAGTCAAAAATCATTATCGAGAAAGAACTATATGCACAGCAGGATACCTTACGGAGAACAATGGAGGCTCGGACTACTGCTGAGAAAGAACGTGACGAAGCAAGACATGAGATCCGCCGCCTTCGAGTGGCGAAGACACAGGCCGAGGAGGCAAGAATGCAAGCCGAAGTCGCTGGCGAGAGACAAGCTTCTAAGGCAGCCCTGGATCGCGAGAACAGTCTTCGAAAAGATCTCGATGCAGCACAGGAACGGCTCCAATGGTTTGAAGGAGAGTGTGCCAAGCTCAACCACCAGATTGAAGATCTCAACAAGTTGATCCTCGAATCAGGCGAATTTGGCTTGAAAAACGACCAGGCCAAAGAAAGACTTGAACGAGAGTTGACCACTGTGAAGAGCCGCCTGACAGCATCAGAGAATGACAATCGTGCTTTGCTGAACAAACTACAGCAGAAAGGGCTGGAGATTGCTCGCTCTAGTTCACGCGCCAGTGAAGCTTCCCGAGGTCAGATTATATCTCTCCAGCGCGAAAAGGCTCGGCTGGAAGAGCAGAACACAAAACTCAACAAGCAGTTGGGTGATTCCCAGCTCGCAATTGCATCACTCGAGAAACGAGCCGAGAAATTGCAGCTCAGCCTGGAGGATCTTAGCCATGAGGTTGCCCGTGAAGTCAAGTCAAGCAGAAATGCTGAAAAGGCGACTTCTACCTTCACAGCACAGCTGGCTGAAGCAAATAGAACCATTGAGTCAGAACGGCAATTACGAACTCAGGCTCAGACTACTGTTCGTACCCTGCAAACATCCGTGGATACACGAGACAAGGAAGTGAATGAGCTGCGAGCTCAGATGCTTGATGTTCTACGGACTGTTGATCCAGAGGTTCCCATCCCCCCTCAGTCGGATGGAGCTGATGAAAATGTACTCATTCAGAACTTTGATCTTGTGAGAAAGGTTGAGGAGCTTCAGCAAAACCTTCGTGTGCAAACAGTAGCTCGAACAAACGCCGAGAACCAACTGAGTGAAATGCGAGCATCGAGAAATGACCCTGCTAGCCGACCCAAGCTCGAGGAGATCCAGCTCAACGAGGCTCCCTTCCAGGGGTCACCGACCCAGAAGAGGGCAGCTAAGCTTCATGCTCGCAACTACTCAAATACTTCCACGCCCACCCGGCGCTTCCAGGATCTCGACCATCTTCAAGACTCAACACGCTCCGATCGAACCATCGACACTCTCAACTTCAACAACCGTATGGATTTGAAAGCCGAAGTCGAGGAACTCCAGAATCAGCTTCAACTTAAGGAAATGCAAAATCGTCACTTACAGAGCCAGATTGACCGAAGCAAACCTATACCGGAGAACTACGACGACCAAAGCCCATCTTTGCGTCGCATTCAAAAACTTGAGATGGTCAATACTCGTCTTCACGAAATGCTCGATGACTCTAATAAGAAGGTATCTGCTTTGGAGCGCACAATTCGATCCGGGCAGCTTTCATTACGGGATGTACAGACACGCACACACGAAGAAATTTTGGAGGTCCTGAACAGCCAAGAAGACTCTCGTCGAGCCTTGGTTCATAGTCACAAGGACGCCGTGGCGGAGTTAACCGATATCAAGGGACACTTTGAGCGACTGCGACACGATCGCGCCAAAGCTGAAGTCGAGCTCCGTGATGTCAAGTCTGACCTACAGGAGATGACTCTAGCAAGAGAGCAAGAAGCACAGAATCGAAATCAGCTTCTCCAAGAGTTTGCAGATCTTCAGATTCGTCTCGATGCAGAAACCTCGAAGTTTGCAGATGTTTCTTCTAGTCTTGAAATGTACAAAAGCCGTGCGGACGAATACTTCAGCAAACTCGAACAAGCCGAGATCGCCGTTCTCAAAGCTAGTCGTGCTGAACAGTTTGCCAAGTCTCAAGCAAAGGAAGCCGAAGACACATATGCAGAGGTCATGGCAGAACGTGAGAAGATGGATGCCAGCATTGAGGACCTCCAACGCCAGAATCAACGCCTCGAGGAGAAGGTTGAGGATATTTCGACAGATTTGGCAGCTGCCACTCAGGCTAAGAAGAGACTTCAACACGAACTCGAGGACTACCGTAACCAGAGAGCCATGGAGATCGAGGACAAAGAATCGAGTATGGAGCAGACTCGTAAGAAGTATCAGGCCGAGTTCGCCACATTGACCAACGAACTTGATCTTGCTCGTGAGGAGAGGCTCTTCAAACAAGCAGAGATTGCCCGCCTTCGAGAAGAACTTGATGAATTGAGGTCAAAGTGGGATGATGAAGTTCTCAACAGCTCAACCTGGTCCAAGGAGAAGGCTCGTTTGGAGTCAACGCTGGCAGATGTCGCTTCCTCTCGTGATGAGGCAGTAAATGCTCACAACGAAGCGCAAGGAAAGGTTGTGACATTGCTCTCTCAAGTCCGTACTCTCCGCTCCTCGGTGGACGAGATCGCAGCAGAACGAGATCATCTTCTCCGGGAGAAGCGAAATGTTGAGGCTCGCCTCGAAGAGGCGAAATCCGGCCTTGAGGATCTTGTGAAGGGAGACAGTCCCTCTCTGCGCAATGCCGCCAACATGGACAAGGAGATTCTGGAACTAAGGTCACACCTTGCCCAACAAGAGGATATTGCGGCCGCTGCCGTGGAGAAGATGCGCAGAGCAGAAGCCCTAGTAACGGAGGTACAAAAGGATGTCATGGTGGAGCGCGAAAACAGCATTCAGCTGCAACAACAAAAGGCATCCTTGGAGAAAGTTCTCAATGAGGCCCAACTCAAACTTGTTGATTTGGAGACCAAGGGCTATTCGAGCGCCAGCCAGGATGTCAAGTTCCTGCACAAACGTATTCAGGAGGTGAGTTGCGTCTGTAACACTACATAACTTTATCGAAGCTAACATGATACAGCTCGAATCACAGCTCGAAGACCAGGAGACTGAGCGTAGCAAATCTCAGCGCTCCGTTCGAAACGTAGATCGAATCGTGAAGGATATGCAAGGTCAGATCGACCGCAAGGACAAGCAAAACACACAGCTTTCGGAGGATGTCTCAAGGATGCGCGACAAGGTCGAGAAGCTTCTGAAGACCATCGAGGAGCTGCAGTCATCGGAGTCCCAAAACCAGCTATCAGCCCGTCGAGCCGAGCGTGAACTCCGAGAAGAAAAAGAGAAAATTGCCCGACTGGAGCGCGAATTGGCAGGATTGAAGAATCTCCGCAACGACAAGGGGTCGAGCAGCGTCATGGGTAGTGTCCGCAGTCGCATGGGCCCCTGGCGGGTCAGCGAAGGAGATGATGCATCCATGGTGGATATTCCCAGGAGGAAGAGTAGCCTTAGTAGGGTCCCCAGCTTCACAAAAGGATTCCTATAAAGGTGAGGGGGGGAACAAGGAGACGAATGTAGGATACACATAAGCTGGGAGCATGGTGATGAGGCGTTGACGCATTTGTCCAGGGTCTGGGTACTGTAATGGTTTGCAAGGCATGGGAGGCGGGCATGATGGATGGCGGATGGTGTCTAGGATGGTTTTTTTTTGGCTCGCTAGTACTTTAGGGATTATTTACTTCGCGCATGATTAATGAGGAGCGTACGCTGTATGTTTTACTATGTGGGATCCCTCCTTCCAGGGCAAATTCACTGCATGATAGTTCAGTACGACCAGTTGAAAGCCTAATGTTCTTTAACTAGCAGTCGTTTCCTGATTGGAGTATTCCATCTCGCATGATATGATTACATCGTATTTTACACACCAAGCTCTGCTCAGCTTTGTAGTATCGAGGAGCGTCTTGGCAGAACAGACGACAGACGACACAAGTACGTCATTTCTCATCCTCTTGGGGAATGCCTGAAGGCTTCTGTGGCTTCTCCATTCCCATCTTGCCCATAAGTCCCTCTATCATCTCCTCCATCGCTTTTTCATCTTCAGGGCTCACCATGCCGGGCCTGCGGGTCACAGCCTGCGTCCGCTGTCTTAATTCCTCTATCGAGGAGAGATCAAATGCCCAGGAAATACCTCCTACCAGCATGACTCCAAAGCTCATGACGTTGAGCGTGGCAAGTCCAAGGGCTTGTACAGCGAGTAAAGATCTGTCACCCGAGTCAAACTTGACTTGGTGTCGGTTGGAAGTGTAAAATTTGGGCGAGAGATCGTGCCGCATTCGTAGCACTGAACGTCTTGATACAGCAACAGATGCAGCAAGGAACCCAGCACCAGTGAGAAGCAGACCGAACTGTCGAATTGAACGGTCCCACGACGGTTGCTGTGCTGCTATTATTGGCGATGTTCTTTGTGGAGCAGCAGAAATAGTTGGTGGAGTTGATGTTGCTGATGGGATTGAAACATTCGCAGACGGTATTTGCTGGGCTGGTGAAGTTTCCTGTTTTTCATGGGGAATTGAACCTTTATCAGAGTTGGGTATCCCAAGCCATGAGCTTACTAAAGAAGCAAGAATAGGCATTTTTTCGCGATCCGCCAACTTCTATTTGACGGCAGCGTTTGTGACGGATAACTAAGGTATGCTGGAAATAATAAGGTAAACCAAACCGTTGAATGCCTAGGTAATACTTCCTCTTACCTCAACTTAAGGTAGTTACTCGATATTGCCTTTAGGGGATGTGGCACCCCGCTCATTGCATGCGACTGTCGCGAATGTAGTGGATATCTACATAACTCGAGTATCACTGTCTCATGCATGTCATGTCGTGCCAATGGAAGTCAATAAAGAATCTCATCAACCTCCCTCCCCTCAGCCCAGCAGCCGCCCAATAAATATTCTCTACCTACTTTCCATTCTGACAAGTATGCCGAAATTAAAAAATAAAGGGCCCAAGTCGGCCAAAGTGGAAGCCTCAGCGCCGCCGCCACCAGTTCCTCCATCATGGCCAGCTTTCAAGCCTTCTCTGCCGATAGTTGACTTGTCTCCTGAACCTCATCCATTGACTTCCAAGGTTGCTCTCATACCTTCATTTTTCCCGCGATCGCTCTGCCGCGACTATGTCGCCTTTCTAAAAACCCTTCCTCTACAAACAACGCCGGGCCGTCCCAAGCGGGGCGAAGCAGTTCGTGTCAACGATCGGTTCCAGGTTGAGAGCTATGACTTTGCTATGCGATTATGGGAGCAAACTGGTTTGAAAGAGGTCTTGCTAGACGGTGACGTTAACGAGAAGTGGTAAGTCTTGCTTCGTGTCGATTCGCCGTCTATGTTCAGCTGCGATGGTCACGATATCATAGACAGCAAAGTTAATGTTGCGTAGGGGTGGTGAACCTGTTGGGCTGAATCCTAACATTCGTGTATATCGTTACTCGAAAGGCCAGTTTTTTGACTGCCATTGTACGTTTATAAGTCTCATTTCCACAACTGTTCCGTTCAGCGACCATCGTAGCACCTTCAATGGCATAACGACGCCATGCTCTTACTCCTGTCCTTCCACAGCCGTTCCATAGTTCGCACCCATTATATATCTCAGGGCTCCCTCTTCTCACTTGACATGCGCACCTTGGCTGACCGACGGCTGTTTCGCCCACCAGATGACGACTCAAACAACCTGACGTTACCTTCGAATCCTCCACTACCAGTGAGAACCACGTGGACCCTGTTGCTCTATTTGACATCCGCTTCTGAGGGGTGCGTTGGGGGCGAGACTGTATTTTACCCAAGAGATCGAAGGTCGTCTCGAGAAGAGATCGTGGTCCCTCTTGAGACTGGGACATTGCTTCTACATAAGCATGGAGACGATTGTCTACTGGTAAGAAGCTCCCTACACCTTTTGGCCGTCTTTGTCAAGACAAACTTCCCGTGCTACGTAAATCTTGACCCTAAATATTAACTAATTACTTGAACTTAGCACGAAGGACGAGAGGTTACTGCAGGTGAAAAATGGGTTTTACGGACGGATCTTTGCATCAGACGATGAATTTGATTATCGGCCTAAGTAACTCGGTGGTCACAAATCTTTGGCCTGTTGTACTACTGAGTTTACTGTCTATCTTGTCCTTACTGGCTGGTTGGCCCGTTGCCGTCCTCACAGTTCCAACGGTCCATTCTTGCACCTATGGCTACTTGGCTTCCACCTGACTCATGAGGTTGACCAAGCGATCCATAGCTTCTTCTTCGTCTTCCTCCGATTCACCACTGTAGATCGAGTCTGTCTCGTCTTCGACAGCATCATGACTCAGAACTTCGGCTTCCATACCATTCTCTGACGAAAGATCTAGCTGTTCGTCGCTGACCATTCCAGAATCATTTCCAGCAGAAGATAATTGTCCTGAACCAGAAATGCCGTTAGGGAAGTCGTCATCTACCTCGGAGACCGTATCATCTTCCAGAGGGAAAATAGCCAATGGCTGTCCTCGATGAAGGACTGTGCCGTCCGGAAGGTGAGAATGGACCTCAGGCGCCAGCTCAGGAACTTCAGGGACCTCTCGTTTTGCAGGCGTGGCATCATTCTTCACTGTTGGCTCAAGGTACTCGCCAAACCCTGGCATTTCTCCTTGACGAGGTCCAGCGGCAAGTGGAGATCTCAGTTCAAGGTTACTAGAGTTTGCGATACGACACATCTCCTTATGGAAGATCCAGGGGAAACTAATCAGAGGCATTGACTTTGGTTCCAGCTTGCGCGGTTGCAAGAGGGTTCCCGCGTCGTTGATGACTCCTCGGTGGTGCTCGTATAGTGCAATTTTCATTTCCTCATCGGTTACCTTGTACATGGCTGCGACAAAGGGTTCGAGTTTCTCTGCACTTTTAGAACCTGCAGCATCGATACATAGCTGTCGAAATGCCGCTTTGAGATTATTGTACTCGCGACGAAGCTCCTCCTGAACTTTGTAGTCTGAACCAACAGCAGGTTTCGACATGGCAAAGCCGGTCCAGAGTTCGAATTCAGTCTTGAGCGCATGTTGGCTCAGTAGTCGGCGTACAGATATGTCGTATTGCGTCTTGATCTTTCTTGCAGATTTAAGTATGTCTCGGTCGAGTTCAAACTTTGTGATAATCCGTTGGTCGAACGGACTGTCCCAGATAGGGTCAAACTTGACTTGCTTGCCTTTCACTTTGTCAAATATGACACCAAGAGCTTTCCTGGAGGTGTAGCTGTTCTTCTTCTCCATGAAATGGGGCCACTTCCGAGGTTGTTGATCTCGTCTCAGTACCGCTGGGTCGCCTGTCTTCGGATAGTCCACTGCTTTGGAGTGCAGCTCTGCAAGTTCAAGACCTTGAAATAGGGTTAGCAGAAGACTCTGATATGTGAGCACTACCGCGACTTACATTTTGGTGACATTGGGCCAAGCTCGTCTGAAAATGCTAGATGAGATGTTGCAATGAGCGGCAGTTTATCGTTCTTTAGGTACTTGACGAAGAAATTCCTGAGATCGTCGACCGTGACATCACGATCAAGCTCAATGGGTTTGGGTGCTGAGTAGTTCATAGGCGGATAGTTCCATCTCTTAGGAATCAAAGTCGGCTCCCATATTACGAAGAAGTCATCGCCGTCAAGGTCGCCACCAGAAAGCATGTTAGGAACAGGCTGATCGCCAGTAGAGGGAAACACAACGACATCCCTTAGGTGATGAAGGGCTGGACAGTCCACCGCTTCAACAATACGAATGTCTCCAGGGTGTAGCGAAGGGTTGCGCCCAATTATGCATACTCCACTGATGACCTGAGTCTTGTTATAGTGTGTTGCGTCGCTTAGCTGAATGAAGATTTGCGGAAGTCTATCAATATCTTTATCTTCGGAGCCTTCGGTTTCGGATGAGTGACCTCTGAGGGTGCCAGTTTCATCGACGCAGCCAAGGACGAAGGCACTTTTCTGCACCTGAATCCTTGCTTTCTCCTTGAGTAGCTTCAAGGACCAAGACCTCCAAAGTTTAAGTACGTTAACAACGAATGGTTCCTGCAGATCATCTGTTCTGAAGCCAGCCCTAAGCAGGTCAGAGATACTGTTCTCGTCAACAAATTTGGTCAACATGTCTATTGCAACATCGTTGTCCTCCATGGCCAGCTCATACGACCGTAGCTGGTGGTCAAGCAGTTTAGTGAAGGAAGCGATGGGGACCCCAAGACATTCAAGAATGGTGATTGTTTGTCTGTTAAGGGTTGCTGTCGCCATTGCTGCACTGCGGATAATTTCGAGACCTTTAGAATCTGACTCGAACTTCTTCTGGGATTCGCGAATATGGACTTCCATGACTTTGGTGTCGTTGGGCCAAATGGCGAGAACCCCTTTACAACCACCCATACGAAACTGGAAGGCGGAGGGTTGTGCAATAACATCAAGAATCATGTCTTCGCTGATAAGCTGCGCCAAGAACGACGATATCTTGCCGATGCCGTCGGTGAAGCAGTAGCCGTTCCTCTCAACATCAGGTATCTGTCGGGTTGCCGGCGCCGAAATTGCATGAAGCTCTCGTGTGGTAGAGAAGCATTGACCGAGGCGAGCAGCATACTTGGCCACAACCTTTATATGGCTAAACTGGCCCATCCACCTGCGGATATCATCGCATGATAGGTGTTCCGTGGGACAAAAGAAGTAAGCGCCGTTGACTCTGAGCTGCGAGTTGCCAAAGGCAAGGAATTCGTAAAGACGATCGCCGATACGAACGCCTTTGTACATTGAACGAAGCACCCTTTTGTAGATCTCGTCATTTTGGTCCTTGTTTACCGCAATCCTCCCCTTTTCCATCTCCTCGATGAATTGGATTTTGAGGAAACGGTCCTCATAATGCTTGTAGCGACGCATGACGCGGTTGGACATCTCCACAGTAGGTGTTGTATAGCGAATGGTTGTTGGCGTGATGACTGCTTTACGGACAAGACAACAATGAGAAGGAGTTCTTGACATTACTATGGAGCCATCAAGCTGAGACTCCTCTAAAATAGCCATCGGGTCGACGACAACTTGAGCGTTGTCAGCCACAGTTTCGAGACAAAGCCTGGCTTTGGCCGGTTTCATTTCCGCAAGTCTCTCCAGGAACTCCCTCCCTATCATGTGTTCGTTTAGATAGCCGCGTGAAAGACAAACTTCAAGCTGGTATCTGATTTCGAAAGGTAGATGAATAACCGAGTCCGGGGAGTACTGAAGCATCTGGAGTGCGTTGTGCCCTTCGGTCGGGGCCTGGTGGTCTATGTATTCCCACATCTTGGCTTTTGTTCCATCTACAGTTTGGAAATCATCTTGAACTTTCGTAGAGATGTTGAAGTCGTCCAGGATGGTAACTAATTGCTGATTGGCCTGGCTTGCTATTTCAGTCTTCCCTTCCAAAACGAAGCCAAGAGTGGTCCATCGACCAATATCAACGAATTCGGGATCTTTAAAATCGTTGTGGAGAGTGACCGGGTGCATCATGGGGAGGCCAGCATGCTGAACAATGTTTGTCGCACGATTCCAGCTCTCCATCACACTCCAATTCTTGGCTTCGTCGGAAAATGTCGAATGGACATGAGGAGCCTTCCAATAGTACTGGGGTGGTGTCTTGAGAGGAATAACAAGAGTACAGCAATTATCAACGGCCGCTGTTTGGTAAACATTCTTCATACTCGCAAAGTCAATAACAACTTTGTGTTGTCGTTCAGTTCTGTTTTCCCCCACAACACTCGGTACGGGAAAGAACGCAGTCAGTTTCTGGTATTTCGGGCTGAGCTCGAGTTTAAGACTACTTCCATTGCCAATGCCAGGGATAGACTTCATGATCTTCATTGAGCTCTCCCCTGTCAGGCTCCCAAAATTCATGGCCGCAGGATAGAGTGTCAGTTTGACAGGACAAGTCCGGTCACGATGTACTGGACTTTTCAGAAAACCTGGAGGTACGTGATTGGAAAGCTTGATAGAAATCTCAATCTCTTTGGGATACTGTTTTCTGTCGTGATGGCGAACAACATAACTGCCCGTGCACCAAAAGTTTCGCTGTGGCGGTGGTTCAAACCTGATTTTGGCGTTGCTGATGTTCGGGTTTCTTTGCGTTTCGTAGATGTCCATGTATGCGATTTCTCCCTCATGAGAGAACCAGTCCCAGAGATTTGAAGTGGTGACTGAAGTTGGCAATCCCTCAAGCTGTATCGTGAGTTCAGGCCATGCTTTCCATTGTTCGTGGAGCTGAGGAGCAAGGCCATCAATGTTGACTGCATGGTTTCGTCGAACCTTGGGTTTCCCTGGCCTGCATCTCTTCGATCTTCGCTGGTGCTTGGGGTTTCGTTGGGACCCTTTCGAGAGTCCGTCGGGGAGGCGCTTGGAGCTCATGTTCAATTTCTATCCATGCAATCTGGAAAGTTCGTTAGTTAAACTGGCTTCCTCAATGACGAGTTCAAATGGCAATGATGTCTATGAAAGAATGTACCTTTGTCAATTGAATGATGCCCCATGGATACCTTTGATGCAGCACACTTCAAGTGTTGGTCATAAAGGTCAGAAGTTAGCACGGCTGTTGTAGCAAAGGTCAAGATGAAAGAGATTTTTGGATTGAGGAAGATGAATTTCGTCACTCGGCGTGGTGATGGGCGATGACAAGTGGCGAGTGTTGTGCCGTGATTCAGAGAGCAGGGATCTACTAGAAGCCCGAGATTGCAGATGCCTCCTGCTGCTGCTGCAGCTGCTGCAAACAAGAAATAAAATCGAACTAGCACTAGGTCATACGAAGCAGTGAATCAAGCTCCTAGTTAAGCACAGCTCCTAGTGTCGAAATTCTAGCAGAGAGGCAAAGGGATTTGGGCAAGACGAGATTGAACGCAGCTATCCGTTGGTGTTTGTTGGTGTTTGTTGGTGTTTGATGTTGTTTGAAAGAGAAATGTACGAAGCCTAATGATGGAAGCGAAATCGCTGAGACCAACAGTCAGTTGAGTAATTGGCCGCTTTCCTGAGTACAGACGGGCTTTGTATAAACGTTTTGTTCGCTTGCATTTAATGCACTTGCTGATTGTTACGGCAGCATCACATCTGTCAAGTTTCTGCAGTGTAAGACGCCGTAGTGCAGTATGCCTCAGTTTCGTGTTGATGAATGGGCAATTAGCTACATTAGCACTCTCTCAATACATAGCTGCGGTTTGGGTTTGTCCTACAATGTTTCATTTAACACTAGAACCATAGCTGCTGTGTTCCTACAAGCATCGATCCACACTGCAAATCTCTATATGCAGTAATGATTTGTTGCTAACCCACTAATCTAAGGAGCTATGTAGAAACACAGCGACAGCTCCTGTCTTAGACCAAGTCTTTCACCACACGGTTTGGTGTCACCGCGGTATTTGACCCAGGATACAGAGTGTTCTCCCAAGGCACATCCATGATCTTTCCAGGATTCAAGATCCATTCAGGGTCGAAAGCCTTCTTCACAGCTGCCATAACTTCCAGAGTCTCTGGTCCAACTTCCCATAGGAGACTCTCTTTTTTGCCCCAGCCGATGGAATGCTCTCCTGTACATGTTCCATCCATGTCTAGCGCTCGTTTCACCATGTTCTTGACGCAAGCTTCGACTTTTTGGCGCTCGCCAGGCACGTTCTTGTTATACATGATACTTTCATGAAAGTTTCCGTCTCCCACGTGTCCCAAGATGCTGGCGAAGAGACCAAGCTCATCCATCTCTTTCTTGCTGACCTCTATGATGTCAGCTAGCCGGCTGAACGGAACAGCTACATCGGTGCTCCCTGTGTTATCATAAATTAGCGACCGGATCGACACGTAATATGTTGATTGCAGCGTTGTGGTACTCACAAACATCGTCACCATTTTTCCGGAGAGAGAGCATAGACCAAAGGGACTCTTTCCTGGCAGACCAGAGCAATTGTTGCTCAGCAGCATCCCGAGCAAACTCGAAACTTCCACCCTTGTTTGCCGCCGCAATTTTCTTTACCCTGTTGATGTTGTCTTTCACGCCGTCTTTTGTGCCCGAGAACTTGAAAAACAACGTTGGCAATTCCTTCCAGACCCGCGGTTTCGTAGCGCCACCGAGGTTGATGACTCGCATTTGGACTTCATCCATGATCTCCATCGCCGCCACAGGAACGCCGGCCTGCATGACGCCAGCTGCTGCATCGGCGGCATCTCGAATGGTGGGAAATGTAACAACAGCAACCGAATACTGCTCTGGAATGACAGCCAGCTTGAGTGTAGCTGTACGTGTTAGTAAAACTTTCGTTTTCCGTGGATAAACCTTGTTATACCTTCCGTGACAATCCCCAGGGTGCCTTCGGAGCCAACAAACAGTCCGTTCAGATTGTATCCAGCAGATGACTTTCGCGGCCTTCGTCTGGTTTTGATAATACGCCCGTCGGACAGGACAACGGTCAAGTTAATGACCCAATCCTTCATTGTACCATATCTTACAGCATTTGTTCCAGAGCAATTCGTCCCGATCATACCTCCTATCTTCGCTGATGGACCTGAACAGATTCGTCAGTGCTGCAATATATCTGGCCCTCCATGCTTGTTGGTCACATACCAGGATCGACAGGAAAGAAAAGACCACTGTCCATAGCCAATAGCTTTGCGTTTAGGTCTTGCCAGCCAATGCTAGGCTGGACCACAATATCCATATCATCTTTGTTAAACTGAATGATCTGGTCCATGTACGCAAAATCCACACTGATTCCTCCGTAAGGGGCAGAAAAATTGCCTTCCAAGCTTGAGCCTCCGGAATAGGGGATGATAGGAACGCGATGCTCATGACATATGCGAGCGATCACAGAAACTTGCTCGGTTGTTCTGGGATATGCCACAGCTACCGGCAAAGTATCAGGGTTGACCGTAGACCATTCTGAGTAGCCATGTGCTAGTAGATCCTCGGGGTCTGTCGAAATGAAGCCTTCTATTCCAACCTCGTTCTCGATTCGCTTGATCGCCTGTTTTAAAGGTCAGCCTGAGGGCACGAGAATATGCAAGTAGTTTACCTTCTCCATCTCGGGCAACGTAGCATAGTGAGGCGCAACTGATCGACCCCATGTAGATTTTCCAGTGCCTTTAGTTTCGTTCAAGCTGGCAAGCCCCCATCCAAGAGCACCAGCTCCAATGGCTACTGCCAAAACCTTTGGTCGCGACCATCCCGGGTTATTCTTTGGTTTTCTCTGAGCAGAATCATGGGCAACACGAGAACGAAGGCCAGAGGAGACTGTAAGGCCTCGTCGAAATTCCGTTCTTTGGGCACAACGGCCCAATAGAGTTCTTGTCGAGGTCCTGCTGGTAAACATTTCAACCGAATGTTAAAGAAACCTATAATTTTATGACTCAGGCGGCCCGGTCCACAATTGACCGATGTAGAACGAAGATCGATTCAAGACCACCCCAAGGCTGCTACTTTTCCTTCAATTAACAAACTTAAACGAGTCCGTTGCGTAATATAGCTCTTGCGAGCAATGTGTTGATCACGAACAGGAATCTCTGCCGCATCTAAGCGAATCTGTACCGAGTATCCGCAAGCAAGTGAGAAGGGGAAAGAACGGCAAGAATCCTTCAATTCAAACAACCAAGAGAGATGACCTTGCGAAGGGGAAATCCGGAGCTAGATGTGGCCACGATGGGGCTGACACTCACTTATAAGTACCTAGTCTCAAGAACATCATCGGCGCACGTGGGGCATATCCAGGAAAGTAGTCAAGAAAATCTAAATTCAAACAGCTTCTCTTGTAAGCATAGTCTCGCTGATGCAATACTTGGACGCCGCGTTGCCGCTGGGCCTTATTAGCATGGCTTTTCCCATAGCATGTTGAGCCTAGCGGGTCTGTCTAGGTAATGGTGAGGGGGCACACGATCCATCTTTCATGGACCTTGTGCGTGTGCGGTCTTACTGTAACAAGAAATTCAGTCGCATGGATGGTTTGAGGCTCCCCACGCATTACGCCCACATGCACATCACAGGAACAGCGCGCGTGAGACTCGCATTGCCGAATCGCAGCTTCAGAGAGTACAGCCAACTGCATCATGGCTGAGGAGGATTCCACAGCCAACTGCAGTTCTTGTTAGTCATGCATTTTGACCTCATGCGTAATCACGACTCGATACCCTAGGTATATGATGGATTTCCCCGCTCCTAAATGACTCGGTCTGCTCGCCGAACCAGAAGTTTCACAGCATACAGCATGTACCATAGGAGTGCGGAGAGGGGGAAGGGAAGCCGAACCCACTTGGTGCTATTCGCAGTTTGGGGGTTCGAGAGCTTCCTTCACTGGCATGGAGCAACTACCTCAATGGAGAAGTCGGGGAATAAACGAAGAAATTCAATTTGAACAAACAACCAACGTTCTCGTAAACGTGGGGTGGTTAAGGAATAGGAATTCGCCTACATCCGAATTCTCTCCTCGGTCAGCAAAACTGTAACACAGCCACAATTTTACGCATTGGGAGGTCAACTGATTGTCCGATAACCATCGATGTAACCCACGAGCACTTTTGTCCACAGGCTGTTTTCGTCATGCCTTGATCGTAAATTATTGTGCAATGCAGCCCTACCAGTCAGCTTTGATCCTAGCCTTACTCCCTGGCAACCATCATGTTCCAAAGAAACACAAGATAGTATACGGATGCTGGCAGAGTGATGAGATATATTATCATAGTTATAAGAAGTACGTATAGCATGGGGGTTTCTCTGGCTTGCTACAAGACCGAGGGCAACGTCCCCAGTTCACTTCCGTAACGTGCTCGAGAGAGATATCTGTCAAGAATCGACACTTTTGTTGGGCTCAAATTCATCTTTTATCGTAGCCTCATGGGGGCTGGCTATCTCAAGGGTAGTTAAAGCCGCAAAGCAAACGTCAAATCCGAGACTCCATTCCACATGCCATTTTTTACCATTCCGATCGCAAATCCACAATTTAGTGAGAGATGGCGTAAGCACGTCGGCGGTCACGCTCCTCAGCGATGGTGAGCTTGACACCCTTGCCCTTGGGCAGAGAGATCCAGGGCTTGTCCTGGCCGATGACGAAAACGTTGCTCTCACGGGTAGCAAAGCTGTTGTCAATGGCATCCTTGACGTGGACGATGTTGAAACCTCCGTCGTGGCGCTCACGGTGAGTGATAACACCAACACGGCCCATGTTACGACCACCAGTGACCATGACGACGGCACCAGTGTCGAACTTGATGAAGTCAGTGATCTTGCCAGTGGCGAGGTCAATCTTGACAGTGTCGTTGACCTTGATCAGAGGGTCAGGGTAGCGGATGCTGTGAGAACTCGTTAGCAATGGGGTATTTGGGGTTTACATACAGCCGTCAAATAAAGCTCCTGTCTTGTCGGGTGACTTGAATCGACCAAAGCTTGATCCAACGGCTGAATGATGTCTGACAGAACTCACGTTCGTGCATCGTGCGTGACCAAGAATGGGATTCCACCGCGACCAAGCTGGACACGCTTGACCTTGCCAAGCTTGTACTCAGCCTCCTCAGCCTGGATTCGGTGGACGGTGAATCGGCCCTTGGTATCGTAGACAAGACGGAAGTTCTCGCCAGTCTTCTCGATGGTGATGACGTCCATGAAGCCGGAGGGGTAGGTGGAATCGGTGCGGACCTTACCGTCGACCTTGACCAGTCGCTGCATCAGGATGGCCTTGGTCTCGCGGTAGTTTAGAGCATACTTGAGGCGGTTTCGGATGAAGACGATCAGGGGCATGCAGTCACGAAGCTTGTGAGGACCGGCAGAAGGCTTGGGAGCGTAGGTGCCGGACAGCTTGTCAAGCAGCCAGTGCGAGGGGGCGCTGAGGCGCTTCTGGTGCTTCTTGCTATCGAGACAGTCAGACCCTCGTTCTCAGAAGGGGACAACAGGAGAGAGAAATCCCAATCATGATTCCTTGCAATCGCATTGGTGATCGTTCTCCTTGATATTCCACTTACATTCCGCGGGCCATTGTGTCGGTTGGCTGGTTTGTCGGCGGTGATGAGGAGGATGGATGAGGAAACCTACTTTCAAAATAAGGAAAAAGAAACTGTGCTGGATCTCGCCCCACACCTTTTAGCGAGTTAGGATTTTCTAGCCCTAGGCAGGTGCACTTGTCTGATAAGATACACTGATAAGATAACAATGTGAAGTCGATCAAAAACCCTCAAAAACACTGTTAAGCGGTTTTATTGAATTATCTTATCATTAATATTATGCATGGTATATCCCGTGCATGAGTGCCCCTGAAGTCATTTTCAATCCGGCAGTAGTGTGACAAGATATCCTTTTTGGATGTCATGAGCGGCTCACAGAATTGACGATGTAACTTTTGAAACATTCCCATCTTTGCCCGCGAGGCAACCGTGTTATCCTTTCCATCCAGCGCCGAACGATACCATCAGCTACAAGTAATAAGCGATCGATAACCAGCGCGTGCTGTGTGCTCGTCCATTTCCAAGTCTCAATCTATGTGCGCCCAATACCATTACAAAGCAATTTCCCAACTCCTAACTTCCTTAACATTAATGCAGAGCACTACGACTTACAGATGCTGGCCTGACTGTTGATAATCTGCTCGGGTGTTGCATTCCCTCTTTGATGTGACTTTTCTGCGGGGTATTTGCTGGTGGAGAAAGACCAGGGATGCCCTCAATACTAAACCGTGGAATCGCTGGTGAAAGCTTGGCATCGTCAAGTAATAAGCGCGAGATGTCCATTTCGCCGCCCATGAATTGATGGGGCATAGTTTCACCGAACTCGAAAACGTGACCTGTTCCCATGATATCGCCTGTCTCGATTTTTTGCTGAGCTGGCCATCGAGAAAGATCTTCGCGCGAGGTCGACTGGTTCATTTGTGGCTCTAGTGTTGTAGCCTTTCGAGGTTTAAATGGGTTCGCAGCTGGTATTCTCACAGGCACCATGACATCGTTCCCTCGGCTCGTCTCCCTAGATTGGAGATTGCTTTTCTCGATTCGTTGATAAACACTGGAATATTTGTTGCGTACTCGGTCTCTCAAATCCGTTGGTTGGCGACTGGAAAGATGGAAGCGCGGGTCACGATGAATCTTGGTCCAAGCGGGTCCGTGTATCTCCAAACCCTGAAGAATTTCCATGTCATCTTGTTCAGTAAAAGGTCGGCGTTCGCGGCGATGCGACTTTTTGAAGGGCCCATGTATACCGAGCTCCACGAGATCCTCCATTTTCTTGCGATGTGCTCGACTTCTTTTCTGTTTAGGAGTAGTGTCAACGTCTTGCTGCATTGTTGAGGCCGTGTCCGTCGCTGATGCACCATTTCCATCTATCAGTATCCTTTCAAAGTGCACATCTGTTTTGCCCTTCTGGTCCGACCCTTGGTCGAGGCGTGAAGGCGAGTCCAGTTCAAGCGGTCGGTTGGACTTGCGGAGCTCCTCAGGACAGCACGTCCTGAACCGATCCTTGAGATCCCCAGCTGTCCGGTCGTTAAACTTGAAGTCGGTATCTTCAAGTATGCTCGTCCACTTCCCGACCCCATATCGATTGACGCCCAATAACAAATGGTTTGTCTCCTCTTCAGACCACTTCCGTCTCGGTTTGCTGGTCCGCTTGCGCGTTTTGCTGGCGACCGAAACCGTTTCAGCCTCTTGAGACGCTTGAGTGGATGGCTGGGCGGAAGGCTGCGTAAAATTGGGCATTGCCTTCATATGCAAGCCATCCTTGCTATTAAACGAATCCGACGATATAGGAGGAAACAAAGCGGCGTGAGGTGGAGGTTCGTGAAGCCCATTGATGATCGGTGGCATTACTGGCGCTTGCTGAGCGGCTTTTTGCTTTTTCAGTGGTTGTGGGAGCTGCATGAACTCATCTTTGACATGAAGGCCGCGATGTCGCTTTTTTTTCGATACGTCTTCAAGAAGCTCAGGACCGTCACCTAATAACCGACTTATTGAATTGGTTGGTTCTACAGCATCCGAGTCCGTAGAAGCTACTCGCAGCGGAAATCCTCCTGAAGCCGATACAATCTTTCCATCCTGGACAATCCCTTCCTTGCGGAGTTCTGAAGAAACATCATCGTTGGTCAAATTTATTAAATCAACGGCGTTTATAACAGACTGCGTGTCAGCAAGTGGTCTATCACCACGATGATTCGTGTCGGACTCGATTGGGGCCAATGATCGATCAGTGGCAGAAGGGAATGCAAGGGAATGAAGCGGTGGAAGATCGGCATGGTTAAGTTGCGGTCTCGTCTGCTCGTTGAGCAGATGAATTAAGCGTGGCTCGATCGTGGCCATCGTGGGCTCTTAAAGGTGGGTTGGCACATTGAGCATGAGTTAAAGTCGATAGAAGAAATCGATAGTTACGATTAGAATGCGATATTAGCCAGGGGAGAGGAGGATATAAAGAGAAGAGGGGAACCTGCATATGCCGTTGGCAAGAGGCAACAGGTCAGAACACCATGTTGACTACGATTTTGGGGAGCTGGTTCATAAGAGTTGGGGCCATGAACGCTTTGATATGGTCTCACTTGGACTGCATGTCTCTCAGTTGCAGTAGCACGTGAAATCGCCACATGTTGAAGCTTGTCATTGGCAAATTCAACAGGGGGGTCACAACAGCACTGAAGCGACGGCTAGGGGATGAAAGAAAAGTCAGGGCCTTGATGATAGGTGATAAAAATACTTAGGTAACTTAGCATAAATTTAGGACACATTTTGCTAAGTTTATTTTGACATCCTATCACACGGCACGATGTTTTCTTGCTCCCCGAGTTACGGATACAGTAGCGGTCCGTAGGTACCTACCTTGGCAAGTACTAACCTACTAAGCAAGCCGGCCCAGGTATCCGCCTTTTAAAACGATTGAACTGCATGTTGATACTGGTTGGGCTTTTTCACATGCCAGCAAAATGCTGCATTGAGTACTGAAGAAGCAGCCATAGTTGTACCAATATGTAATTTACCTATTTATCAATAAGTAAGTGAACCAATCGAGTAGCCGTACATGACTTGTAAGGATATTATGCTTAGCATAACGTAAGTAATAAGTGTCATCATACACCTCTTTCGGTTCACACCCGAGGATTTCTATTCCAAAAGCTGGGGCAAGCCAATTGAATCGACTTGGCTCGACTAAAGTTGGCAAGAAGATTCTTCGGGGGCAGGGGCCCGGAGATGTTGCACAATTGCAAAAAGGGTTTTAAACAGTCGGAGAAGGCCAGCTACTTGTCTCGTTGCTCTCGGTTGTTGGATTCTAACGGCTCAACCAACTTTAGATTCCGGAAGCACTGGTCAAACGGAAAGAAGCTCGAAATACTGGCCGGTTATTTGCCGGAGATCCTTCACCAGTCCTCGCTCCGGTCTATCCCGAGCAGTTCCGGGATTCAGTATGTTGTCCTCATTGGTTGGCGGCATCTGAAACCGGAGCTTGATTCTGGGGAAACGAACATCAGACTTGGTATCTAGTTTGTGTACGTACCCTTCTCATTTCTTCAGCTTTGCTTGGCCATATGTTACTGGCGCGTTCAACAATCCATCAATCTATTCTCATAATCATGGCTTCTTCTCTCCCCACCTTCCCACGAATAGTGTTCACTATCATAGAGCCTATCTCTTTGTAAGATTTCATAACAAGGGTCTCACACCCGATCCCTAAATGGCACATCTGCTAACATCAAAAACAGAGTTGTCGGTTTTGCTGGTGCCGTCATTGATCCAGCTTGGTTCATCGGAGAGCAATCTCCCCAGAAGAGCGACGGTGATGCTTCCCCCAATAGTATTATTATAGCCTGGCAGCTAGGGAATCTATATTTGCTGCTAGCATTCATTGGGGTGGCGATCCTGTCAACTACAACTGAAAACCGAGTTGTTCGCTCGTATCTCGTTGCTCTCTGGCTCGCAGATATTGGTCACATTGGCTTCAGCTCTTATGGGATAGGCCGGGACAAGTTGCTAAGCCCTACCCAGTGGAATGCCATGACTTGGGGAAATGTTGGAATGACGGTAAGCCAAGAATATAATCAGATGCTGCCATGTCATCTCCTGCGTTATGGTTGACGCTGACCTACGACTTAGTTATTCCTTTTCTTCACGCGAACAGCCTATCTCACGGGCTTCTTAGGACCCGATCACGTCAAAAAATCCGCCGAGAAAACCGCCTAATACGTAATCATGAAGGCGAAACCTATTTTGAGGCGACATAGGTGACAGAATAGCCATGGCTGATGATTCTCAAAATGAGAATCTAGGAGTGAAACAGCTACTTGGAAGATATCGCCAACGCAGTGGGTTTATAACCTCTCTTTGGTGTATAATTTATAGATTTATGGGAGAAATCATAAGTTGTGGTGTAATTGTAATACGGATGTAAGAAAAGAAGATTACAATTGTATTTACGTTGGATGCAAAAATGTAAGGCTATCTTACAGGCAGGTCTATAGTAGGTGGAGGCTAATATCCCCCGTGATTTGGCGTCTGGGGGGGCTCTTTGTAAGGGTGGTCAAAGCTCTCAACACCAAGAGTTTGGTCCAGGGACGCGTCAGATACCTTCGTGCTACCTTCGGGTTAGGGTTAGCTCTTATTGGCTGATAACGCGAAGGTTTAATCATCACAACAGACAGCGCGTTTGGGGCTACCTAGGCTCAACCTCACGCACACACATCTATAAGTCATCACGCAATAATGAATACTCGAAGTGCAGCAGGGCGTGCATTGGCTCAGAACGAAAATCGCGAGCCGAGACGTAGCAACCGAAAAAACGACCCGGTTCAGCGTACAACAAGCCCAACAAAGAATATTGTTAACCAGCCCGTACCTGTACCTGAACCTGTAGGGGTTTTACTGAACGATCCGGTTGCTCGCCGTAATCCACCTCCTCAGGCTCAAGACGACATTAGCATCCCGTCAATTCCTCTAAAGCCTGACGATGAAACCGAATTCTATGATGAGTATGACGACTATTCGCAACCGGAGGACTCCGGCCAAGAACTTGAGAATGTCAACAGCCCCATCGAAAAACTTCAACTTGGTCCAGCAATCACCATAGCACAGCAAAGGATCCTGGAGCTAAGCATTCCAGACTTAGCAAGAGCCGCTGATAGCCTGTTTGAATGCTTCCAAGGAAATGAAGCTGACGATGTCTTCAATGGAATCTTGGCCATCAAGCGACGTGCTTTTCACACCATCAGAGGAGAATATGATGCACTTGATCAGTCTAATACGGCACCGTTCATTGATTTCGCGCACTTCGTGGATGACACTCCCACTCGAAACCAAAGCGTTAGGGTAACTCAGATCGCACGCACCAATGTTGTGACAGCTTACGACACGCTTTACGGGCTTAGGAACGAGGAGACATCGGCCATCTTCCCATTTCTCGAATGCCTCAACCGGGTTTTGCCTGCATACTTCACCCCAGCTGATAATATGTTTCAAAACCCTCAGAGCACATTACACCTCCGGACCTGGTTATTTGTCGAAGACCTTTCTCGTCACAGGGACGAAAAGGACTTTCGGGAGCTTCTTGTTGCATATTTCTGCAAAGAAGAAGAAGAGATTTTGAAGGAATTGAACAGATCAGGACAAGAGGGCGAAGGGGCGCTTCCTTCATATCCACAACTTTTTTCTGGGGGTTACTTCAAAGACCTTGGCGGTGTAGAAGGTATCGATCACGATGTTGATGATCTCTGCTCAGCACGGATCGCTCAGATCAAGAAGGTCATCGATGATAACAGGGAGGATGGGGGAATCTCCCAGCTAAGAAGACATTTTCCCCTGCATAATTTGGTGGAAGATCTCTTAGGGTGCTTTGAGAGCTTATACAAAGTTTTGGCGTACGAAGAGAGCGTGAGGGCGGGTACTGAACCTTCTCAACATGGCCAAGAAGAGGCTGCCTACAGCCAAGGCAATGATTATGGTTCGGATTCACAATCAATCGTGCGTGTGGGAAGTCAGGAGGCAGAGTAAGTAATATTCTTACCCGGTAACAGAGCTAAGTATTGACCTCTCAGCAGAACAAGTTTGTTTGTCGGGCCAAAGTCCATTCAAGCCTTGCGTGGTAGAAGTCGAGCAACCAGTACTGTGCCCCCTTCCAACCAACAGCTTGCAGGATTCAGATCCGGAGTTCCCCGTGATTATCATGAGCATTCAAATGCCTACCTCCTGGGTAGTAGCCCATTCCCCCCCGCAAGTTCTTATCGTTTAGCTACCCAAGGCGGGAGGCAACGAGAAAGAGGGCAGAAGCGACCGCGACTTTCCCAGGACGACGAAGATGGGGAAGATTCATTTGAGACCGACACTCGGCGTGTTGATCCAGCCAGGCGAGATGAGCTACAACGACAGATGCCGCCACCTCCAAAGCCACAACCTGTCCCACGGCGTGCTCAAAGGCATGTTTCTGAGTCTTCATTCTCTTCAGAGCCCGCACACCCCTTTCCTATGGAGCAGTCGTCGCAGGATATGGGGTTACGTTCAGTCTCGCAGGCGCCAATGTCCTCCAGACCTTTCAATGCTATCGCAAAGGCCGCATCACAGAGGAAGAAGGAGGTTCGTATGGCAGATCCAGAGCGACAAGGACCACGACAGCGCGTTCCTTGGAGTGAGCACGACTCCCAGGTCCTTTTAGATCTCATAAAAGAATACGGTGTCCGTTGGTCGTCCATCGAAACCATGAGTGAGCGTTTTGAATACCCACGCAATCAACAGGCGTACCGCGACCGTGCTCGAAACCTCAAGACGGATATTCTCATGATTGACATGCTATTGCCTCCGAATTTTGACGGCGTAGCTTTGAGCAATAAAGAAATTGCGAAGATCAAAGGAGTTGGGAAGAATCCTTTTCGTAAAGAGGCGGATGTTGATGACGATAACAAACCCATTAACACTGAGCTTGCAGAATCCACGCCGTTTTAACATTGGGCGGCATGGATACGCAAGTTTGTAAATTCAGCGAGTAGTTATAATCATGTACAATTCTTCGTTGGCGTTATGCTTTACATTCTATATCACGGCGGCCGTATCGCGTCGCGCGAATTCTAATCCAGGAGGAGAGAAGTCCTTGCTCGCTGCTGTGGTGTACATTTTCGAGTCCTGGTCAAAATTGCATGTAGTAAGTCAATTCATAGCTAAAAGCACGAGTTGCGTAATGGAGTTCTAGTGAAATAAGCTGACTAAAGAAAGGGCAATCTCCTCCGACACCTCAGATTCTACAGAGCCAGCTACACATATCATCATTCTTGCTCAGACTCTTCGCAATGGCTGGCGGCATAGCTATTGTGTCCTACACCCTAAGAAATGGTGCTGACCAAAGCTAGTCGTGCTCTCAGTCCAGACAACAGCAATAAGCGCCGGTATAGTGATGTCAAGAAGGGGATGATCTGTAAGGCGAAGCCATAAGACGTCCATAAAGACCTCTCATTTCAAAACCAATACCACAAACGCCAGTGTCTGAGAATGTTTGTCGAAAGAGAGATAATAAAAAATGAAGTAAAAGACATGTCATGAGCAGTTGATAAAACCTTGCGAGGCTAGCTCGTCCGTCGGTCTAAAAGTCAAAAGCCGGGCGGTAGAAACAGTCAGGTGTCTCAATAAAGGGGTATCAGCCGTAAAGGCGAGTTGAAGCAATTCTTATCTGTATAAAACAGTAATCTTCCTCGCGAGTTCAGAAATGTTATAATAAGATGACAAAGGGTATGCTGCAGTTTTCCGGGAAATGGTATAGCGTTCAAGTGTTGTGAGTAACGAAAGGTGGTCGCAGTAAGAGCGGTTGAATCCATGTCGCGTCAAGCAAAGACATGGTTTAGTGACAAAGTGTCTTGTTATCGTATGAAGGGCGTGTCAATCCTGCGTGGTGGGTGCTGACTTGAATAAACAGCATTCATCGATGACGATAGGGGACATCCCTCTGCTTGAGTCGGTTCGTTCTCCATCCCTCGTACCACTGTTCTCGACTAGCTTCACGTAGCTCGGCACGCCATTCGCTGAAAACAGCCTCTTTCAGACGTTGAAAGTCACAGTGCTCTTCATTGTAAGGATCAGCAAAACCCCACGGGAACTGTCGGCCAATGACACCTGGCTCGTACAGATCCGGACTGATGATGGAAAGTGGCAGGAAAGGGATCTCATCTTCCTTTTCTTTGGCCTCTTCTTGTGCTCTATGTCGTCGAATGGAGCTGGTGGACAGTCTCTTGGAGCTTGGAGACGCCGCTGGGCTTTCTCGATGGCCCTGTAGTGGGAATTCCTGGCTTTCAGGAGTTTGAGCACCACCGCGTTCGTGTCCGGCCTCATCTTCCTCCTCATCCTCCTCGGCAATCCTTTCAGAAGTAACACTACTCTCATCCTCATCATCAAGGCCAAGTGCCTCCAAGGGATCTAGGCCCGATTTCTTGATGCTGTCCCAAACGCTTCGTTTGAGAACGTTCATATGCTTGGTGGTAATGGTGTCAGCCTTGGCAATGACTGGGATCACAGTAGTCTTGCCCTGGAGCGTACGCAGGACCTGCAAATCAAGGTCTTCATCCAGACTCCCTAGCACACGCGCGCCAAGGTGTCCGTTTTGCTGACCATTGATAGCTGGGTTCCTCGCGGATGCAATGTTGCGATCCAACCGAGAAGGATCAAGGACAAGGAAGGTCGCGTGAATGTGGGTGTCTTGCACACCAGGGGAGCGTACAACCTTCATTTCCTCTGCAAAGGTTTCCTCAAACTTGCTTTCAAGAAATGCGGACATTTCCCTAAGTTGAAGGTCGACTACATTCTTCTCTAGGCCTTCTGAGTCCCAGATGGTGAGACCAACGCGCTCCCCGTCAATCTCAGTTTCGAGGTAGTGTGGAATAAAGTTTCCAGAGGGGGTGTTGCGATTCTGCGGCACTTCGTCATCACCCTTCTTGGCTCGTTTCTTGGGTGGAAGAGCGAGCGCTGTTTTGAGAAACTCAAGAAAGGATGTTTTGCCAGAGTTACGAGTACCAATGACGAGAATACTGGTTTTCGTGTTAGCACACGACTAATAAACAAATTGAAATACATTGGTTAGAAACTCACTTCAAAGGCGTCGGGTCCTTTCGTCTGCGAACACGACGAGGACTGTTGACCGTGCTAATAGCACTACTAGCATAGCTGTAGCGGCCACGGTTTGTCATGCTTTCTGTTCTGGCATATGGATCAAAACCACCGTTGGGCAACGGCGGAACAGGGACGGCAGCATGTGCAGCAGCGCCATATCCCCGAGGATATTCTGCTGAAGGCCGAATAGCAGTGTAATCTGCTGATCGAGGAACGTTGGCTGGTGACTCGGGGCGCAACTCGGGGCCAAAGGATTTCGATAATTGTTCAGAATGGTTGGCGAATTCGGGCAGCTTAGGAGCAATGCGCGTCGAGGCCTGGCGCTGTCGTTCAAGCTCAGCCTCCCTAAGGGCTTGCGCCTTACGACCACCTTTGCCTAGATCGCCACTTTTGCTGCGTCGGAGTAACATGCCGAAACTGGTACGGCGAGGCTGCTCGTTGTTCATCCTCTGAGGGATCGATCATGAAAAGGAAGAGAGTCGCGGCCAAGAGACGGCAAATCAGAAGATGAGTGGGCGGCGCGAGAAGGACGGTGCGGAGCACGTGGAAGCAGCGGGGGGTCCTAAGATGGCAGGATGGGGAGCAAAAACTAAATGGGCGACTTTAGTTCAAGTCGAGAACAACCTAAATGACAATGGATCGGAGTGGAGGAAACGGGAACGATCGAGACGGAAGGTGGATGGGCATACGATAGTGGGCGGTCTTGGTTGATAGTTCAAAATGTCCAAGCGAGTGGGCGGCACGAGGCAGCTGGCTACAACAACTTCGTAGACGGACAATCAGCAGATGTCAACTGAACAAACATTGACTGATCTTCACGTGCCCTCTATCAACGACAGCCCTTTCCAAATAACTATTGGGGAGCAGAAAGGGGGATCTGTACAATGGAGGGAAGTGATGCGGTTGATGGATTAGTACCTACCTGAGGTATAGAGCGCGTGTACCAGGTGTGGAGAGCCGCCAGTGCCAGTAGTGGGTGTAAGAGATCAGTGGAGAGTGTTTGAGAGTTTGAGTCTCCGAATGAAGGTTGAGGCGTTCGTTTAGTTTGCAAAGGGGGAGATGAGCTGGACGACGTGTCTTGCCTGGTCTTTCCCGACGTTGATTCGTAGCCTTGAGATGAGATGGAAACAGGATTGATGCGCGTCTGCAGAGTCGGACGCTTTTGGGGGAGTTATTTACCAGGGGTGGCTCAGGCTCGTTTCGAGTAAGATAAGGCACCTGATTGGCTATGTTGTTAAAGTTGTGGAAGGTCAAAAACGGCACTCATGGAGGTCGAGATCAAGGGCATGGATTCAATAGAGCTTAGACAACGGAATTGTGCCCAAAAGAATACCAGCCAAGGTAGTACCGACTCCGACCCTTATACATGGGCAACCACGTCTTGATGCCCAGTCGGACTGATTGCTACGTATAGACGCTGGGCATGATCCATATTACCTGACCTACAGTATCCGTACGCTTGTCGATGATATGCCCGAGACATAAGTATCATATTGCATCGCTTCAAACATTAGGGTGCACAAGCCTGGCCCAGACACACTGTGGCCTGTAGGTTTTCACATATGCCAAGCTTTCGATCAGACAGCATGCTAAGGCTTCTTTTTCCTTTTCCCCTCGTTTCAACTACCATGACTTTTACCATATCATCTAAAAGTCATCAGGATTCGCAATCCATCGGCGCATTTTGTTCTGAGACAATCCCGGATGCGGACCCTTAAAAGTGATTCGCTAACCTTCTGCAGCGCTAGCGATGGTGCAGGGTCCAAGACAATCTGACTGGACGGGGTAAGGGGCATTTAGGGGGAAGCCAATTCTGTATGAGGACTTGGCTCCGTTTATAACAGACGGTGATTATTTGTCAATTTAAAGCCGCAGTCAGTGGCCTGAACCAGAAAAGGAGCCTCTGTATCTCCCACCTGTTTTCTTCCTATACCATTGAACACCGACTGTGTCTTACAACACAGCCAACGAAGCTCCAGTCTAGCAGCGGTCCTGGCTACTGGGTCCTGGTCGCATGGTCCTTATCCTTATGAGCGGGGGCATCATGAGGTGGAGACAGTCCCGCCAATCTAACGCCACAGGCACATGGCTTTGGCTTAGACTCCAATATATTAAGTCTGTGTCTTTGTGTCTTAATTACCTGGCGTGCGGCCTTATTGCTTGCATTTTCGGATACAAGCTCAATGATCAGGACCGAATCCAGGTATATTCTTCCGTGTCCTGGTCGAATTCAAGCACAGACACAAGATATTTCTATGAGCCAACCAAAACTTGAAATCTCAACTTTTAGGCTGTATCGGATCGACCCACTGATGCAGGTACACGGCTTGTCAAGTGTCAACTAAACTGGGCTTGAGGAAGAGGTTAGTTGCCTCCACCAACTGCATACGTCGATAAGAAGCATAAAGTGTCATCCTCCCGAGCAACAAGAATACTTTGAAGGACATATAACGCCAAAACACGGGCGGTTCTTGTAGTTCTCCGTATGTATTTAGGCAAAGTGAGGTAGCTGTCTGAACAAGGAAGCTAAGTACGTAGTAGAATTGTAGTGATAGAACACAGTGGCTTTAATTGCAGGGCATCTAATGCATGTAAGCGAAGAAACAAAAGGTTTCTACTCCGTAGCGCTAGTTCATTTACCGACAGTTCCATACACCTGGTCCTACCCAACCCAAGGCCTTTTTTTTTTGGACACTGTTTCTAAAACGATGGCAACTTATTAGGTGTCACTACTTTGTTGCCTTATTTGACTAAATGCAACGCGTATGAACTTATGAAGAAGTGAACTGATGGATCCCTTACGGATACTACATCCAAGTTCCGTGCTGAGCATATCCTTGGACATCTATCAATCCTATTTCAGTAATCTCCTCCTGCGCTACATGAATCAATGAAAACGTTCATCTGTAAAGCCATTCATGTCAGACTTACCTCGATGAGCTAGGACAATGTAAGGTGTCAGTATGTGGCTATCGCCGGGCAGGACAATTGATCCAGTGATCAAGCCAAAATACGTCAACTGCAACAAGAGGAGGGCTGCCGAGGGCACACAATACTCGATTTCGAGGTGACTGCAGCTAATGGGCCGTACTCCTCCCTCAAATGTCTTCTTAGCTAGGATCGACTGTTACAGATCATTCTTCACAACTAACATGCAACGATCAGAGATTCCTATCTGGCGACCTATAGATTAACACGGGCAGTCATCCAGTCCACGTATATAGTAGTAAGTATTTATTCCCGGAAATGTCAACAATAATACACAGCTGCCTCCTGCGTTTACGCGAATCACCACTTGTACCAAATAATATATAGGAGATGAAGACAACATGCAATGGGATATTAATGCATCGTTCCATACAGTTTCTATACCAATATATTCGAGTCCAATGGTCTGGATCCCATCGTGAACTCGTTTGCCGATCTTGAGAGGGTTCTATCTTTTGACTTAGGCAAGCTCATGATGATTACCAGGCAGTACCTATCGTCGTCTATCTGTATGAACTGTACAAATTCTTGTTACATGAATGGGGAATTCGTCATAAGTTGTCGTGTACAGAGTAGTTTACATTTCCACCAGACCTATTGCAGTGGCACTGGCACTGGCTCAGCCTTCAAAAACATCATGCTGAAGCTCAATGCCAAAGTCTTGTGCGACATCCTTCATTCTTTTTTCCATTTCATCCTCCATTCCCCCTCCAAGACCCAACCACTGGCGCAGCTTAAAGATGTAGAAGGCCACATCAGAAGCTGCCATGACAGTTTTGAAGATGATATGGCGCCAGCGATTCTGAAGGCGTTGGTTCAGTGGCAACTGGGGGTCCTCGAATAGACTACGACTCGCCCACTCGCCCATCATCTTGACACGGTTGACTGGTGATCCGAGATACTGGTTGTTGCCCTGTACGATTCGCATATTGCGACCGATGAAAATCAGCTCCTGCGGCCACTTATCTTCATCTGTCAGGATCTCTCGGATGCCCTGCTTCATTCGCTTCTGCATCTCGTAATGCCGCTCAGCCGGTGTATTGCCTTTGAGATCTTTCATTATCCCATTATGCGTGCGCTTATCTCCACCCTCGTACGGCCGCAGTAATGTTGCGCTCGCGAAGAGATCTGCCGCCTTGATCCCCCATGATTCTGTCACTTGTGATATTGTTTTATTGTCGAATGTCATAAGTGCTTTCCAGAAGGTGGCGTATTCATTTCTGAACTTCGATGACATGTACACATAGAGGCCATGGTCAATAAGCACAAGCTCGGCTCGCCCATTGGGCAAACGTCTGATAAAGATGTTGCCGGGGTGCGGATCGCAGTGAACGACACCCCACTTGAAAATCTGTGCTGAGAAGAGGTCTACCATGGTCGTCATGACTTCTCGCGTGGACAGACCAAGTCCTCCACGGCCTCGTCGGCCTCGCCATAATTCCTGACGTTCTGGCTTGATGTTCTCTTGAAATGGCCTTGTCCGAAGCTCAAGTCGTGCAGCGTCAATATCAATTTGCGGGAGTGGGCGACCAGCACCAGGAGATCCATTGCTATGCCCTCCAAGCCATCGCGATGTTATGGCTTTCTTATCCCAAAGCCTCACACCCTCGATCCACTCAGTCACGAGAACTCGCTTTGTCGTAAATTCAGGATAAACCGTAGGAATGTATACTCTCCCTTTCAAGGTTTTTTCCGTATTAACAAGTTCTCGCATTTTTTCCGAATTCTTGGCCTCATTGACGAAATCAGTTTCTAGCTCAAGTCGCTCCGTGATGAAGGGGACTAGTTTATACAGTGGGAGGTCAAACCACTTGGAATAGATCCATGCGACGGTCCTGTTTTGCATTAGTACGTACGCGGGAGTTAGCTGTGTTCTTCAGGCTTACTTGAAGGCCCATAAATCCCATGATATTTGCTTGGCAATCTCGCGTTTCTGTATTTTGATAGCGACTTCGCGACCATCCGCAAGTCTCGCCCAATGGACTTGAGCAACACTTGCACTCGCTCGAGCCTTGCGCTCCATCAACCCCATTCCCTCCTTTCCTGTGAAGCTGACGCCAAAGACCTCTTCGACACTTTTCCCGAAATCTTGTCTTATCACTGCTTCGATGTCACTCCAATCGTCTTGCGGTGCATCGTCAAACATGCGACTGAACATCTTTTGGAATTCGGGGGGCAGCACAGCACTCTGCATTGCAATGGCTTGTCCGATCTTGAGATAAAGTCCACCGTTGGAACGGAGAAGGTTGAACAGCCGCTCGGCATTCCGATTATGCAAGTCCTGCACAGTCCCGCCAGTAATGGGCTGGGGTCGAAAATTCAGCTTGTAGTCGAAGGCTACAAGCAAGCCGGTTCCGAATGTATGTAGAGAGCGGCCAAAACCAGATGCGTATATCTGACGGTCCCCGAGATAAATAGTACCTCCCAATACGCATGTCAAGAGCAAGCGCCGCGCCCA